GGGAATGACCCTGTGTTGTTCTCCCTAAGAGCAAATTCGATCGTGTTCATGGAAGCCTCCACTGCTTCTGTTGCAAATCCTTCCTCTGCCAAATTCTTCAAAGTTTGCATAACCAACTCTTCAACTTTTTGAATATTATCCTCTGATACACCTTTCAGGCCTATGCTAAATTGTGGTTGAAGGAGCTCATCCTCAACACCACCTCCCACAATAGCTTCTCCTAAACCACTTTCAAGAAGAATCCTTCTAAGTGGTGAAGCTGGAGTCCCCAGCAATAGATGATCCAGGAAACCAAGTGCAAGCTCAGTTTCTACATCTAATGGCTCCTCTGACAAAAGCCAATTGATGCACACCATATATTTCTTTGTCAAATCACCTTCTTGACCAGCAGGATACTTCTCTATGATCCTCACAGGTTCTTTGAATAGCCTCTGTGGCCGAACCTTCGATTCATTAGGAGCAGGGCTGGCTTCAAACTGGTCAAGGTATTCTACAGAAGAAAGGGGAAAGAAAAGGATAGACATTTTAAGAGGGATAAGAAACAGGAAACTTGGAGGATCATGAAAAAGGTGGTTAAAAACAGCAGCCATGCGAGTACAATCAGTATTTTCTTTTAGATTTGCATCTTACCACTTAGAACGTGTAGCCGCTCTTTTGGGTCATCATCACCATAGAACCAGATCCTAGCATTGCTTGGATGATAATACTTACTATGGAACTCCTGCAAACGAGCAAGACATACAAGCAAAGAGTGAAAACTAAATTAAGTAATTAACAGCTAACTAAGCAACCAATATTAGCTTAGTGCTACTCCAAAAGATATAGATATTTTTTGTTGGTGCTAGAATGAAATCTGGTGAGGTCTAGCACTTGTTTTTTATACATCACAATGAAAACCACCAGTTATTAAGCAATAGCTAACAGCTCAAAGCAAAAGACATCATGAAGCACTGCATTGCTGGTACAAAGTATATACGAACAAATGGCATAGTAAGTACCAATAAGTGAGAATCCAAAATTTGGATCCAAATTGATAACAAACCTTGAATTCTTCAAAAGTAAGCTTTGGGATTTCATTTGGGTCCCCACCACTATCGACACCATATGTGTTATCAGGGGAAAGTGCCTGCAGAATGTTCTGAAAAGTTAGTCCTTGTACTTGTACCAACTGGAAAAACAAGATCATGAAAAGAGAGGACATAAAAACCGCCTACAAACAGAAAAAAAAAGAGCACCCAGGTATATTAGCACAAACAGATAAATTAGGAAAGAATCTATCAAGGAAGCATATACTAATAAAGTTACTGCAACCTACTGTACTAAAGCCTAGAATAAACCCAGTTTAAACAAGAAAGCAGAATGAATACAATAATAAAGCTACTGCAACCTACTGTACTAAAGCCTAGAATAAACCCAGTTTAAACAAGAAAGAAGAATGAATACAGGGGAAATGCAACATCTCTGGACCCAGGTTCATTGCAATAGTCAAGCAACTCATCAGGGAAAAAAAATGAGAGCAATAGACCAACCTATAGGTCTGGACCTGGTCTCATCTGGTAATGATAGTACATAAATTAACCAAAATTCAACTAATTATATGGTCAAACCATCAAAGTTCAATTTCAGCAATAGATTAAGGGTGTGTTTGGTTGAGCTATGGCTGTGGGAAAAAGCTGTTGTGGGCTGTGAGCTGTGGGAAAGCTGCTGTGGGCTGTGAGCTGTAGAAAAGCTGAAAGTTGTTTGGTTAAACAAGTATAAAATATACCTTCTATCTTTATCTCTCTTGAAACAACTATGGAAGAGCTTTTTATTCCACCAATTTCGAAAAGCAGAAAGGCAAAAGCCAAAAGCAGGGTCAAACCAGCTTTCAAAAATGTACTATGGAAAAGCAGCTGCTTCCGAAAAAACCGCCTCCAAAAGCAGCCCCTTTGGTTGGGCTTTTGGCTTTTGGGGCCAAAAGCCAAAGCCAAAAGCCCAACCAAACGGACCCTAAGGTAGTAGAAGGGCCTGATCATGTTATGCCCTTTGACAAGGAGATCTCAGGGCAATATCATGTAAAGGATAATAAGAGATGCAATCGCATTGCATTCTCCTAAAGGCTAGTAAAATCAAACAAGATGCCAAGAAATTGAACACCTGAAACAGAACACTAATTTACCTGTTGGGATACACGTCCCATTATGTTATCAGGTTGAGAGTAAACTCCTTTCATCTCATTGAAGACGACACCTAAAATTGTTAAAGAATTATATTCGAATGCATTTTGAATGACAAGTAACGTCACATGTAAATTTGCTTGCTCTATTAAGTTAGATTGACCAAACAAACCTTTGTATGTTATCTCTTTTTCAGGGTTGTCAAGCTCATAGTGCCAACCTTCTTGTTGAAATGTTTGGAAGTCGTCAACACATTTAGGGAAAAAGACGGCATCAAGGTATACGTCTACCAAGTTGTAAAAATCCTGGAAAGCAACCAAGTGCACAATGATAATGTTAAACAAAGAGTTGCTGAACAAATGACGCAAGCACATTTGTGGTCATTAGGTCTTACCTTAGTGTTTGTTGATGCAACCGGATAACATGTCCGATCTGGATATGTGAATGCATTCAGGAATGTATGCAAACTACCCTTTAGGAGCTCAACAAATGGTTCCTTTAAAGGGTATTTTCTTGATCCACAGAGAACGCTATGTTCAAGGATGTGGGGTATGCCAGTCGAATTTTTCCTGGTAATAAAAAAACGTCTTTAAAACACCAAAATAAGCTTACATGCAATGATTCATTCTTTCACTATATGTGCCTAGGGCTGGCTAGGTCATTATTGTACAGCAAATCCTATGCCTAATGGACATTGGAATACTAATTACCATAGACAAAACAAAGAAATAAGGATTAACTGCACTTACGGAGGGGTACGGAAAACAATGCCAAAGACTTTATTCTCATCATCATTTGACAAAGACATCACTTCAGCACCCGTCTTCTTGTGCTTGTAAAGAACAGCAATTGATTTGCACTCATCTATAGTCTGTTCAGAGACCTTTTCGAATCCGAGCTTTGCAGCATACTCATGTACGTCATCTGTATCTGCTTATGTCAGAAAAAAGAGGTCACACATTTGATAAACATATGACCTTGATTTTTTGAAATTAGAAAAGATTGTGGTTTGAATGATGGCTTGTTTTCAAGTACTAGCATATTATCAGCTCCAGCAGCCTCATGTCAATACTATGCGCAAAAATCACAGAGCAAATGCATGATTTATGTGCCAACCAAAAATCAATCATGAGACCTAAAACAGTACACAGAAGGGAACCCCACCATAGACTAGCCATCATTTTCATTCCAAACCAACTCTGCAGTTCGCAGCAATTCAACACATTGCCTCTATTTGCTTCAGCAATTGCAAGTAAAATAGCACACCTCACAACCCTTTCCGCTACAGATATAAGTTCAGACAGAAGCAGTTCTGTTCTCACCATAGGGCACAGGAGAGGGCGAGGTAGATACAGCGGGCGCGGACAGCCTCCGCGCGAGCTGGGCCGCAGCGGCCGGCCAGTACCGGCCGGAGCAGTGCAGCGGCGCCGCCGCGGCCAGGAATCGCGCGCCGCCGCGGGGCAGAGCCGAGTAGCCGCGCGCCGGGAGTGAGAACGAGGACGTCCGGTGTGCCAAGGATGAGGCTGCAGCGGCGGGCACGACGGGCCTGCCCCTGCGGCAGCGGTGTAGGAGGCGGCTGCCTGAGGTGCGGAGCAGCGCCACCCGCTCCATGCCGCAGGTGTCCAGCTTGCCGGTCTGCCTCTGGACTCTGGATTGGAGTTACGGGCGGCGTAGGTTGTTGCTGGGAGTGGGACTGCGATTAGGCTTTCGGTTCGTTTCCTGGGCTGTCCCGGTGGCGAGGTTTTTGCTCGCGCTTAAGAGCATCTCCGACCTATCCCTCACTCAGCCCCGTCTCCATCGTTTGAGCTCAAACCATAAAACAAACAGCTCTCCAACCGATTCTTTATTCGACTCCCATCCGATGAGAGACCCTCATCCATCGCCTCCCATCCCTCATATGTAGGGGACCGCACGAGATCCCTCATCCACAGCGGGAGCAACCACCGCAAGCCTACGCGCGCTCGGACATCTCCGCTCGTGCCTACTCTGCGTCGGCGCCACCGGTCTCCGACGCTGCCGTGCCGGCTCCATCGTCGACCAGGTATGCCCATCCTCCAATCGTATTAGTAGCTGTAGAGACTAGGAGAGAGAGAGAGAGCATCTACTAGATCTCATCGTGGGGAGAAGATAGATCCGCATACAATTCTGATTGCCGATTGAGCAAAGAAGCACCGCTTTCAGCGTTGGTTTGGGTTGGTCGAAAGCTCGCCGCTCACATCGCTTCTCGTGCTCGAAAGCAAAGAAGAACCGCACGCGGCGACGGGATCCGCTGCTTGTGCTGCTATGCCATCCACCGTGAGAGAGAGGGAGAATAGGAAGTAGATAGCAGAGAAACAGAGTACTGTTGGTTGCTGCTTGTGCTGCTAGACAGGTATTACTAGTTGCTGCTTGTGCTACATGGGGTTGTACTACTAGTTGCTGGTGGAAGAGATAGAGCTCAGAGAAGTATCTAGAAGCACATGGTTAAACGTGAGAGAGATAGAACTCAGAGAAGTAACTAAAAGCACATGGTTGTACTACTAGTTGCTGCTTGTGCTGCTATGCCATCCACCATGAGAGAGAGTGAGAGCATTTTATGTACTATAAATGTTTCTATGCTTTGTGCAACTGAACATCTCATTAAATTGGTTTGCAATGTACTTTGCAGCATAGGAAGTTGAAAATGCCCAGCTTCGATAATGTTTTTAGGAGCAATGTGGACAACACCGAGGTTGATTATGGGTCTTATTTTGGTATCTCACCTGAAGGACAGAATGTCGTTGAACAAGCCTCTCAGTCTACGAAAGGAAGCAAGAAGAGATAAAAAAAATTTAGTTTAAAAAAGGATAACATGTTGGTGGAAGCATGGCTAGAAGTAAGTTTGGATGTAGTTCAAGGCGTCGACCAACCTCGTGCTACCTATTGGCAACGAATTCATGATTACTTCCATGAGCATAAGGATTTTCAATCTGATCGTAATATTAGTTCTCTCTCTCATCGCTGGGGTATCATTAATGAAAGTGTTAATAGATTTTGTGGATGGTTAACAGCGATTCAAAATAGAAATCAAAGCGGTGTGACTGAACAAGATGAAGTAAGAGGCATTTTCTTTTAATTTGTTAGAAATGTATATGTGCATTCATGGTTACTAACACATATTAAATTGTGTAGATACAACAAGCACTTGAAATGTACAAGGAGAAAGATGAGAAAAAGATCGTTTTCATTGATGCATTGCTTTGGAATGTATTGCAAAGATGAACAAAAGTGGACTGACCAAAGACCTGCAAAAAAACATAAGTCATCTTCCAGGGAAAGTCCAAGGTCGTGTACTCCTGAAACTAATGAAAGTCATCTTGGTGATGAAGAGCAGGGTCCCAGCCATACTTCACCAAAGAAAGGTAGGCCTATCGGTAAGAAGAAGGAGAAAGATCGCCGAGGTAAAAATCTTGTCGCTCATGGAGAAAACCTATACATGGAAGCAATGGAAAATATGTGGCTCAAGAGAGAGAAGGCCGAAGAGTTGAGAGAGATTAGGAAAAAAGAGCGTAATGATCAAAGACTAGCTGTAGAGACTAGAAAGCTTGAACTGAAGCAAGAAGTAGATAATAGGAAGCTTGATCTAAAGCAACGAGAACTACAACTGAAACAAAGGCAGGACGATGAGAAAGTGATGAATATGGATCTTAGTTCTTTGAGTGAGCGGCAACAAATATTCTACAAGACAATGCAAGATCAGATCATTGCTCGTCTTGGTGGTGGAGCACTTTGAGATGACAGCTATATGTGTGGGGCATTATGTGTGTGGGGCAATATTTGTGAACCATCGTGTCATTTAAGTATTGTTGTAGGACCTATGTAAGAACAATATGTCCGAACCACTAAGTTTAATTCTTGTTGCCTCTATATGTGGACTATGAGCTATGTGTGTCTTTAAATAGAAGGCACGATACATGGTGCATGCTTAATAAAACGATGAGTACAAGCCTCAATAATAAATTACATAGTATATGATTACAAGCCTGAATAAATTATATAGTGCTAAATTATATAGTAAAATGATGGCTACAAGCCTCAATAAAGTACATGGTACATGATTAATACAAGTCTACATGACGTTGCCAAAGATGCTCAATTAGGTCCTCCTTAAGCTAGATGTGGGTTTCCATGTTTCTAATATTGTGATGAGCTTGCATGAACTCATGTAGCTCATGTGTGCGATTATGAACTTCACGCTGTGTAGGTCTCACTAGCTGGCCAATACCCTCATAGTGGAAGTCATCTTCTTCATTTCGCTCATCTTCAATTATCATGTTATGCATAATGACACAAGCTGTCATAATTTCTCTAAGTGTTTCTTTATCCCAGCTACAAGCTAGCCCACGAACAATGGCAAAACGAGCTTGTAAAACTCCAAAGGCTCGTTCCACATCCTTCCGTACTGCTTCTTGTGACTTGGCGAAGTATTTCCTCTTATTACCATGCGGATTAGTTATGGTCTTCACAAATGTTGCCCACTTGGGATATATACCATCTGCTAGATAATACCCCATTATATAATTATGATCATTGATGGTAAAATTAACTTGAGGAGCCTCCCCTTCGGCTAGCTTGGAGAAAAGATGTGAACGGTGAAGAACATTGATATCATTGAGAGACCCTGGCAAACCAAAAAAGCATGCCAAATCCAGAGATCTTTGGAAGCAACAGCTTCAAGGATGATAGTGGGTGTAACACCCCAGGTGTTTGTCACTAGTTAAGCTATGGGTTTGAGCTCAAACATGACAGATTAAGTGACGATGAAGATGTCAAGGTCAAACCTATGGAAACGAGCCCCAACCTAAACTTGGATATTGCACCTTTGCTCGCCTATAGACCCCTTTTTCAAGATATATGCTTGGGTGGTGTTATTAGAATATCTTCATGTGTCTCACATCAATAACCATCTATATTGATCCATGGAAAAGTTTCGTGAAGTTTGGAATCAAGAAGTCACATGAAATGACGAGTTATGTCGTTGCTTGAATTATTTTTATAAAGTGAAGGGAATTCTCGATCATCAACCAAATATTGCAACCATGCCCAAATGACTCTAGATGAACTCTACAACAAAAGTCGTAAAAGGTTCATATTGGGCAAATGCCTCGAAAACGCTCCAATGGATCAAAAAGAATAATTTAAGCTTCATCGTGATCCTACTTTGGTCAAAGTAGAACAGTAGGTTTTATACCAGTTTTGAGGTTGGACCTTAAATGAAAGTTGTAGTCCATATCATGTAGAACAAACTTTGTTTTTGGACCAAGAGCTAGATCAACTTGGAAATAAGTCAAACAGAGGCTCAAGTTGAACTGCTGCTGATTTCAGCAAAGAAATATTCTAAGTCTGAAATTCATCGACATCGGCATTGACGCCTCGCGTTCTCCAAATTTCGTTAAATAACAACTTGACTTGACCCCAAAATAAAAGTTGGAGCATACATCGAGAAGAAGACCATGCAAAAGGATGGCACTGTTGGACCTTTTTATGACCCTCAATTTTGGAGTTTGCTAATTGCCATCAATGCATTGACAATGCCACTTTTGGAGATTAATTACCCACTGTTATGTTACTCAAATAACTAGAGTGCCTTAATGAAAAATGTAGAGCAGGCCGAGGTGATCAAACTTCATTTTTGGCCCAAGGTTTGATTCGGCCCGAGTGGCCCAAATCAGCTCCCCACCTTGTCAACTCCGGCCCCACGCGTGCTCGATGAATTGTCTCCGTGTCGGCCAAACCGCTAGCCCCACCATTGCCGCGTGGCGCAGCTTTGCCGACGCGCGTCCCTACCCCAAGCAGCTAAGCCGCTCATGCCCATCCTCCTTAATCGAAGCGCCAGAGTTGTCCTGCCCTTCACTCTCGCTCGCCTGGTTGCGCTCTGGTGAGCGAAGCCGATGCACCGCCGCCAAGCTCCCGTGTAGAAGCTCCCTCGCTTCTTGCCCTCCTGCGCGCTTTGACCGAAGCGTCGCTACGCATCCGTCGAATCACGACGCCCCTCCTGCGCGCCTTTTTTGGTCACAACGGCAGAGCGAGCACCGTCAGCCGCCGATTCCGGCGGCTCAAGCACCGCCTGCCAGGGCACCACCACAGAGATTGTTGTCCAGGCTGTTGGCAGCCAGCAGTGTAAGCCGGACCCTTTGGTGCTTCCCCATCACTCCCCGAGACGTACCTTCTCTCCGCCCGCAACAACAAGCTCCGCCATCCTCTCTTCTCTGCTTTTTCCGACCAGGGACGTCGCGCAAGAATTCGAGTAAAGGGGAGGGCCTAAAAACCTGTGACTCATGTGAATAGTGCCGTAAGGACTGGTTTGTAATTATTTTGCAGGAACTTTGGAAATTCATAGTAAATCGTAGAAAATTCGTAAAATAGTAAATGAGGACTTTTTGGAATCCTTGTGAAATTGTTTATGTAGGGGATCTATAATATGGCATGTTTTAGTTTAAATATTTTGCGGTAAAAATAGATTTGTGCAGTAAGGTTGTAATGCTAGTTGAATTTGTTATTTTTCATAACTGTAGATCTAGGGCTCCAAATGAAGTGAAATTTTTGTGGCATGCTACTCATGTGATAGTTGATGTGTGGTAAAAATTTCATGAGTATTGGATGAAGTATGAGTGAGTTATTGGTTTATCTTGTTCTCACATGATCTCTTGCTTTAGCAACTTGTCTTTTTCATAGAGGTTGCTATACATATTCAAATGGAGTGAAATTTGTACAGTAGACTATTGAGAGGATATGTGAGCCACTGTAATTTTTGTAGAATTTATTGTATACTTTTGGTATATGTTCATTAAGTCACCTTGTTATCTAAAATAAATTAAGAAATGCATTAAAAGAATTTATTTGGTGATGGACACTAGGTTTTCTGGTGTTCTTTAGTCATGTGTGATATGTTGGTAAAGTTGGTTTTTCCTAATTATGTGTTTGCAATATAAGTTAATATTTATTTTCTTGCAAATGTGGTTTTTGAACAGATCTGGGAACTTAGCAAAGTTCTTCATGATAATATGCTTTGTTGTGAAACTTGTTTATATAAAAGTTGTAGATAATTCATGTATCTAGCTTCTATTAAAATTTGGTGTAATTTGGCCAAGTAGTTTAAGAGTTACAGCTGTTTAAAGTTGGGTTTCAGAAATGGCTGTTTTCTGTCAATTGTGGACCAGTTTCTGTAAATGAATATATTTGACTTAGTTAACTTGAGAATCATGCTAATATGATTAAAGATGAATTGTAGAACATTCCATAAGCTTTCTAGATTGTCTTGTTGCATGTCTTTTGGATTAGTACAACTCCTGTTATGAGTAAATTAGTTGCAAATGCCCTTCCTTGACTCTGTTCAACTGAATAACTTGTTTGCTTGATATGAGTTGATGTGAGTAGCTTGCTCTCTATAGTTAGTGGTGTGAGGTTAGTTAAATAGCTATTGATGTCTATGTCTTGCATAATCTTGTGTTTGTCTTGAATGTTTATGTGATGCATCTTGTGTTATAATTCATCACATTCATACACCTGCTCTTGCATCTCATCTAGGTGCGCTAGATGAACCACGTAGAACATGATGTTGAAGCCATAACCCAAAGACGATGTATGGAGGATCTATCCCGAAGATGGAAGGACTAAGCAAGTGCTAGGACCGAGATATCACCATGACTCGCAAGCAACGAATCGACTTGTGACGCCGGCAAGCCTCAAAACATTATAAGTCTCCTAATTTATAAAAGCAATTCTTTCTATATATGAGTTATATATTGTTGCATTGTTGTAGGAGTTGATCAAACCGTTGATGCATTTATTACTATCCTTGCGCTATCTTATTACCCTTTTACCTGTTAGGTCGATCGAATAACTCCTAGCCTTGGCGACCGTAGCGATCGGTGATGTCCCTACATTTATAGGTGGTTCCAGAATTTAGCTATGGAAAGAATGATATCCTAGAATTAACCATGTGTGATGGATAATTGGAGACCGTTCGAAAGTTAGAGGCAACGGCGGCGGCGGCGGGGTGACGTTAGTTTCGTGGGGTTCGATTAAGGACCGTCGTTGTTGGGCCTCGAGTCATGTTGAACGTATGCCTTACATTTAGCTAGCCGGATAAAGTACCTTCCGACTGGGAAGAGAGAGATTATTCGGCCGAAGTAGATTCGCCAGCGTGTCCGCGACGGTGGAAGCGGGCGTAGACACGGGACGAGATGATAAGACCAAAGTGCGACTTCGGTCCCCCGACACATGTGGTTCCCGCAAACTCGAGATTACGAATAGTTGACTCGGTGATCAATATCTCACTTTAGCGGGTGAGTAAGGTTTGTGTAAGGAATAAATCACCAGCCTAGTTAGAATCGATTCGAATCATCATCGCGCCACGATAGTGAGCACTTGACTCGAAAGTTACGTGCATCGTAGTAATTATTATGGAACAAGGATGGTTATCTGGATGATATGGGATATGCTAAATCTAAATTGGTAACTGAATGTTATTGGTTAATCAAGTGATTGCTATAGCCGCTTACTTAGATGGATAGGTTATAATAAAGATGATGTAAAGTACTTAAAATGGTTTCTTCATGATAGCTTATGCTTTTCGCAAACAAGTCGTAGCCCACTCGAGAAAGCCATGCATAATCCTTGATGTCGCTTTATTTTGGTTTAAGACACTGCCACATTTGAGTACTCTGGTTTATCCCACCTTGTTGCGGTGATGTTCTCGACGTTGATGATGGTGGCTAACCGCCGTGGCGG